TTGCCTACCCAGCCAAGGTTCGAAGCATAAAGCCCATCTGATATTATCAGTCCTTGATACTGTCAAACATCATATTGAGCAACGAGCAAGAGAGATTCAAAATGAGCTTAAAGTCAATTTGAAAGGTATTTTCTTTTACTTCTTTTTCATTAGTTACTCTTCTAATTTTAATATAGAATGCTCCTGGACTACTATCCCTAACTTATGATTGCTGGACATCAGCCAATATGACAGCATATCTTGGTGTTACAGTCCATTGGCTTAACTCTGATTGGCAGTTACATGCTCAACTTCTTGCACTAGAAGTCATGACAAATGGCCACTCTGCTGAAGCTCAAGCTGAAATGCTTTACAATATTGCTAAAAGATTTGGTATTACAAATAAGGTATGATTTTTTAATCATTTCTACATAATTATACAAGTATTTATACCTTTTTAGCTTAGAAACTTAACTGGTGACAATGTATCTACTAATGATGCAACAATGGTCAAGCTGGGGGAACTTTTGGCTGAGAATAGTATTGAATTTGATGCTCAGGACCAAAGATCTCAGTAATTTCTTATACTTTATCTTATTTTCCTCAAATTTAACAATTTTTTATTATAGTTGTTTTGAGCATGTTATCAATTTATGCTCTAAAGCATTTCTGTCTACCCTATCTATAGCTTCTTCTTTATCTTCATCACCTACCGATATGGATGAGGATAATGAAGAAGATATAGTGTCCTTAATCACTGAGGTTGACTCTGGCAATTTCACGCGTCCTCAGTCACATGATACAATTCACTTGGGTCGATTATTATTGAAAGTGCAAGGCTTAATAGCAAAAGTAAGTTAAATCCAATAAGATATTGTATTCCTTGGTTTACACTGTATATAGGTTAGGAAGTCTTCTGGGGCAAAGGATTACTTTCTTGTTTGTTGCAAGAATGTCAATATAAAGCCTTTAGAACTTATTTCCTTTGTTCCAACTCGATTCCAAAGCTGGGAGCTAGTCCTTGATCGCTTCATTAAAGTTCAAAAAGTAAGTATCAGAACTATATATTATATTCATACTAATGTAAAATCTAGGCTGTTGATAGCTTTACTAGGAATGCTGATTATGCTGAACATGTCCCTCGAGTTGGTCCTAGACAGTCTAAATATTCAACATATCGATTTCTTGAGGATGACTGGAAAACATTAGAACTTATCCATACTGTTCTTATGGTATACTTTTCTTTGTTTACTTATACATTATACTAATAAAATACATTACTAGGAGTCTAGTGCTATTCAACAACAATTTTCATCCGACCAGATTCCAACTGTCTGGCAAGTATTTCCTGCTCTTGAAGCATTTCTTCTACAGTGGAAGTCTATGAGAGATGATCCTCTGTATTCATCTCTTGAAGAGTCACTTCAGAAAGGGATTGCTTTAATTGAGAAATACTTTGAGAAGGCTACTCGTTCTAGTGCTCAAATTATTAATCTGTGTAAGTTTTTTTATAAATATTTTAGTATTTTTAGTAGTTGACTAGTTACTTTAGTTTTGAATCCCCTTACAAAAGGGCACTACTTTAAGGAGTTTTGGTCTGAAAAGGGTCAGGAGACTGCTTTCAAAGTTATTAATACTGTTGTGAGTCTTTATTTTTTCTCTAATTATTTAATATCTAATGTATCTATAGTTTGAGAAGTACAACATACACTCTAGGCCAATCCCTGTACAGTCATCCCAGCCTGAGATTGGTTCTAGCACTTCTCATAAACCCTTAGAGAAGTCAGCTTCACTCCCCTATGGACACAAGCGGATGCAAGCAGCAGCTCTAGCAATGAGAAGACAATTTGGAGACAAGCCAAAGGATCCTCATGAAGAACTTACAAGGTACACTAATGATGTTGAAGATATAGACCCTAACAAGGGTTTGGATCTATTACTCTGGTGGAAGGTATTCTATTATTCTTATTTTGTAATAAAGTATCTAATGTTTTACTAGGAGAATGAATTCAGGTTCCCTACCCTTTCCCGGATTGCAAGAGACTATTTGCCTATTCAAGCATCATCAGTTCCATGCGAGCGGCTCTTTTCAATGGCAGGGATTGCAGATACAAAGCGGCAGAACAGGACAACTTCAAATATTTTTACTTTGTTCCAGATGGTGTGTGACTACCGCCAAATGATTGTACGTTGCCAGGCTGGTCAGAAATTTGA